CAACAAAATATTGGTTCAAAGGTTTGAAATAAAAAGTCTGTACATTTATAGAATCAAAACCTTAGAAGATATATTAGTAATAAACAATAATTCCAAGGAATGAGACCTAAAATAAACTAGATGCAGAAGACATGGCTTCCATACATGTACAACATTCCCCATTGCAAAAATTTCTGAGTAATGAGCTGAAACGTTTTTGGGTTTGAATCCATTCCTGTCTGGCAATCAGATGTTCCAGAGAAGCCGGAAAATTTTCGGCCGATAAGATGGAGTACATAAAAGTTATGAGAGATAATTGAAGTTATCACGGGAAAAAATGAAGGGGTTACTTCAAATAATAAATCGGATTATAGGAATAGAAATATTGATAATTAGTGTATGATTCATAGATTATTTGGCAATTAGTGACAGAGTTGCAAAAGGCAGTTACCTCAACTTCTATGAAATGATGTTTCCTTTGGCATCGAACATGGCTATTCAAGCAAGGGTTACAGATTTGGTCAAATTTTGGGTCTAGAGGAACCCTTAATGTCGTGTTTTAATGGCCATAAGACTAAACAATTCATTAAATTATTGATGAAGATGTATGCTAACCTTCATGGTCTCAAACCATAAAGGGTAAGTATTAATATCTACCTAAAAGAGGTTTTTAATCGCATACTAAAGCTTATAACATTTTACGAATGGCCAGTTATGAATGTTTTTCGCCTCACGTTGTACTCCCATTACATGCCACAGAAGTTATATAATGATGTAAAAATATTAAATAATTGTTAGTCACATATATATATGTAAATATGTAGGTAAGAGAGCAAATAAAAGCCTCTAAGGAAATAAATCAGATGCTATGATGCTAGGGATATACAATGAAAACACATTATTAATAAGGAAGGCATAAATAAATAACACATTTAAAACGGAATACTCAGCATAAATATGCATTATGTAGCAAAAAATAAGACTCTTAACCTTTGTCAAAGCTTAGAAATTAAAAATAGCATATCTTTGGATTGATTTAAAAACGAACCTAATGTGTTTTTTGACCATGGAGAACATTTCGCATTTTATTTCAATACTAACAGTCTCAAGCAACATTTAATAAAAAATATTGCGTTAATAATAGACATATATCCTACTGGCATTCAGAAAAAATATTTTAAGTAAGCATTTTATTAATATTTTTGCCGATTGAATAAATACAGGTTTTGTTTTATTATGTGACTAAAGTCTGTTGGCATAGTTTTCGAATGGTTTGCAGGGCGGTCCCTTCTTGCCCTATCTCTGGGATTTTGCCTCAACTACTTTGAGGCAGTAATTAGGGTAAATCAATCGTCCAAAGTTACACATTTTCAATTTCCTCTTTGAAATTGTTTTTCATCAATATATTTGCCTGGCTTATGTTCAACTTTCACTTCTTACATCAGTTGTGGTGACTCTCTCATCGGCATTAATAACATTTACTTTTTAGTTCCAAACTACGATAAGACTATGACAGCCGTTACATCAACAAGTAGTGATATAGTACCTACGGGAACTGTAATAAAAGAGAGATGGAAGGTCAGCAAAAAAATAGGAGGGGGTGGTTTTGGTGAAATATATGAGGCCGTGGATATGGTCACTCAACAGAGGGTCGCAGTAAAAGTTGAATCTTCTCAACAGCCAAAACAAGTCCTTAAAATGGAGGTTGCTGTCCTAAAGCGCCTTCAAGGAAAGCCTCATACTTGCCGTTTTATTGGTTGTGGTCGTAACGAACAGTTTAACTATATTGTAATGAGCTTACAAGGAAGAAATTTGGCGGATTTACGTCGATCTACACGTCGTGGATGTTTTTCCATCAGCACCACTGTTCGCTTAGCTAGGCAAATTTTAACCGCAATTGAGAATATTCACAATGTTGGCTTTTTACACAGAGACATAAAACCTTCAAATTTTGCTCTTGGTACGGGCGCTGGACCTGGCTCTACGAGCTCACGACAAATCGTGATGCTTGATTTCGGTTTGGCCCGTCAATACACTGCTGCTAATGGAGACATGAGAACTCCCAGACAGGTTGCCGGATTTCGTGGGACGGTTAGATATGCATCTGTAAATGCTCATTTGAACAGAGAGTTGGGCAGACATGATGATTTATGGTCGCTTTATTATATGCTCGCAGAATTTATCACGGGAGAACTACCCTGGAGAAAAATAAAGGATAAAGAACAAGTTGGTTTGATGAAGCAATCTTTTGATCATAACCAATTATTGCGGTTCATGCCCAGAGAATTTCGCTCCTTCCTAGAACATATTCAGACTTTGACCTATTTTGATAGGCCAGATTATTTGTACCTTCAATCCCTTCTTAACGCTTACATGGACAGAAGATCTATAAATGAAGGCGATCCTTTCGATTGGGAGAACGCTTCTGAGGTATCGGCCGTCACAAATGAAACTAATCAGCATCATACCAACATGGCTCAAAATCAAATGCAACCTCAGAATGGTCCTCAAGCAGTTGATGCCAGCAAGAATAAGAGAACAGCAAATTCAGGGGTTACTGGAAACCGTCCCGCAGTCGCGAACACAAGTGGCGCCGCTATTGGTGGCTCCTCCGGTTACGCCAGTGCTGGTCGTTTGGGTGGAAGTAGCTCTAATATTGCTGCTGGTGGTGGAATGAGTGCTTCAGTTGGCGTAACAAACTTGTGCAAATCAGTAGACATTGTTGGGTGTTCTACCAGCGTCCAGCCCAATAATCGCGGGACTCTTAATGCACACTCAAAGCGTATGGACTCGGAAGAGGGCCTGGTAAATAATAATGGACAACAGACTTCAGCAACTACGCCTCGCAAGTCCCTCGGCAGCTCAGGACTGAGGTCCCACAGAGCCACTACAACTCCTAGATTTGTAAAAGATGCTAGAGAGGCTCGTGCTCGCGCAGCTGCTCTCAGGGAAGCAGCAGCAAATTGTGAGCAGCAGATGATTCCGGTATCTTCGGGAATTCGTCATTCACCTTCTGGTAAATCCATTAACGATGTAGGCGGCCAGGCTAATGAGTTGAGCACTCGAGGTGACTCTAGGAAAATTTCTTCTGGGAGTCTCTCTCGTCGCCCTATTAGCGCAGGAGCTTCCCATCTGCGCGGTAGTATTGGAGCAGTCGGAAGTACCGCTAGTCTGGCTGGGGCTGGACTTGGTACGCGTTGTGATACCAGCTGCACGCATGCAATTGTCGTAATGGTTGATCAAGGAGACAACAGCAATCTGCATGACGTCACCAAAGCGGCCCCACTCACTATGGCCAGTCATTGGGCTGCTGGAGCCGAGGATGGCGAAGAATGTTCTTGTATTTCTGATGAAGAGGGGGGACCAGGAGGGGGGGGACAAGCCGGTGCTGGAGGTGCTTCTGGCGCAAGTGGGTCTGGAGGTGCCGCTTTTCAGGGAGGCGAGAATGGATCCAAAAAGGGGCTTTCAGGTGGCGGGGGTTCGCAGAACCCTTCTGGTGGTGGGGGTCATGTTGATTCGAATGAGCCCGGTGATGTTGTCTGTGAAAGCATTAATAATAACAGTAACACCAATTACTATTATAGCAACAACAATGATTTGCACTCCAACGTTCGGTGGTCACAAAACAGCGGTGAGGTTGTGAGGCTCCAGAGTGATCTTCCTAATAGTAATTCTCCCCGTCTATTGGCCCCCGTTTCTGTTTCCACTACTCGTCTTCAATCTGCTAGTTTAAAAAGTAATTCGAATAGTGGAAATGTGCGTTTTGCTCCACGCCATCACGTCCCGGGAATAATTGTTGAAAGCGGCATCGGTCGAAAGTTAACCACGGTCAGTCCTCATGGATGTTGGGGACCGACGCCTGAGTGTCTTTCAAGCCACAGTATTTCAGGGGGCGCCAAGTTTTCCCAGCCAACTATGCGTTCAAAGTCGCGCTCTCGTGACGTAGACAATCAAACACACCCTCTTTTGCCTTCCAACCTACTTGGATCTGTTGATTCTTTGAATAATGTCAAACATGATTCATTGCCACAAGAAGCTCATGTGCATATGAGCACTGAGTATCTTCATTGGACTGGAGATGGAAACGGTTCTACTGCTGGGCAACTCGATCCTCATCGAATTAATGCAATCAAACCGAACATTCCTCTCAAGATTTTAGGCACCTGGCATCATTTGAAAGGTGGTTCACGCTTTCCAACTCCACCAAAGCCACCTTCCCCGGGCACTCGCTATAATGGCTATCCGCGGTCTCCGCTAAATCCTCCTAATGAAAATGTTGGTGTCTGTAGGGCTCCAATAAGTGATTCAGTCAATGTGCCTTCGGTGTCACATCACTCAGGAGTTCAGCAGAATCCGCTGATATATGCTATTTCCGATGAGAGTCACCCATTGCGCTTCAGGTCCGACATGGAAATGGGCCAAAGTGAGAAGCAGCATAACACTATGCCAATGAAAAACGACCAACATGGCACTCTTAATGAGTCACAAATCAAAGCTGGGAACACTCCATACTTCAGCTTTTACTATTCTTCTCAAAAGACCGGCATGCCAAATTCTGGCGATACAAATAATTCGTCCTATCGTTCCTTAAAACCAATACACCCAACTTGTGTTTCGGTGGCTGCAGTGGCGGCAGCTGCTTCTGACGATGCGCGAAGAAAGATACTTGTTGGCCAGGCTCCGCTTTCAAAGTCTGAACACGATTTGGTCACCTCAGATGGTCTCGATATTAGGAACGAGAGAGCAACAGAGTTTGAGGATGATGGATTTCTTGTAAGTCATTTGCTCAACACAAATACTTATTTTTGTTTTGAGGGAATATTTTATTTGCTTTTCTTAGCAGTAGACTTTGATCTTCCATATCTTCTCGTCCTTTGCTTATTTGAACATGGCTCTAAAAACCCCACTCCCGTATTTGTTACTCTTAATGATTTATTGCTATTCCTGAATGTAACACCCAAAATGCTACCACTCGTGATTCTTTCTTTATTATATCTTTAAATCTACGCTTTGATCCACTTCTTTTCCCTCTGATATAAAGGCCAAATTGGCAGTTGAAGCTCAATTTCTTATTCTAGGCTCTAATACATAACTTAGCTTCTTCATACTTCATCTGCTTTTTTGAGTAGAACTTTCCCTTGGTCTCGGTTTTTTCCTAGAAATTTTTCTTATCATTGTCTATTTTTATTTTCACTCCCTTTTTACTGATTGTAATTTACAGCTAGTGTAGGAGCCGTCGCCCATGGGCCTTTAAAGGTATACATTTCTTGATATTATATATACCCTGTATCCTCACTGGTCGTAACTGCATTCTTTCTAACACAAGCTCCGCACTTATTATATGTGCTAATTACGCATGTTTACTGTCATATTTTGCCTGTGCATCACAACGCATGCCTCTTTGATACCTTATTTATGTCGTGATTTACGTCTGGGTGAGCATGATTTATTGCATTATCATTGCATGATAGTGGTTCCACTCGTATGTCGGCCTCTGATATATACCTCTTTTCTGCCCTACACTATTTGAGTTTATTTGTGATAACTCGTGGTTTCACAACTATGATTAATAGTTTTTACAAGCTCATTTTTTTCTTTGGGCTTGGGTGCTTTTTTCTACTACTTTTATTCCATTGAATTCTGTCCAGCTTTCAACTGGGTCCCAGTATTATTAAAGATAATTTTTTAATGTTTTGGGAGATTTTTTCTACATTCTACTGTTTTGTCTTGATTATTGCTCTGTGATATCATTAAAGTATATGCTTAGTGGCAAGGTCATTTGATGACGTCCATTATGATCGTTTCACTGTACCGTTTATTTCAGCGAGTTTTCTAAAAGTAGCCATCTTCAACAATTCTGGGTTTTTCGGTTATCAGACTAACCGTCGACTTGTAATCTTCCTTAATATGCTGATAATTTCTCCAAAGCCACACCTGCAGAATGTCTTGATCTTTACTCCGCTTCCGGATCCGCGCTTATTTTTTACAGTTCCGGCAAGTTTTATTTTACCTCAGCCACTCATTAGTTTTGGTCTCTATCCTAATACCTAATTTCTTCCAAAAAATTACCATTACTCTCTTTCCAAGCGGTTATGTTTTGTCTTTTCTTTTTTATTATATGCTATTAACTTCTTCTGACAACTATATCTGAACATTTTAAAATCTTCTAATTGGCTTATTTCCAAACCAGCTCATATTCCCTTTATTTTTATTTACCAGGAATGTCTCTTGATCTTTAAGAATTATTGACATATTCTTATGCTATTTGTCCTTCATTTGCTCCTGATTCTAGTATTCTATTCGAAGTGACATTCCATTGGGTTATCTTCCCTCCGAACAATTTATCCTAACTTTGTATTTTTATTTCCTACCCTGATCTGCAACCTTTCCTTTAATTCATCGTTTTGCAGTAAAATGCTTCTCTAATGATTGTGCTTAATATCAAATGTGTTTGCATTGTGTGCCCGCAAGGGTTTTATATTCACCCTAGTATGCATAAGACGATTAAGGGCTTGTAGATGAAGTTTCCCACAGTGACATAAATATATATTTGGGTACCATTGAATCTCATCTCCCTAGAGTTATCTTCATCTCATTAATTATATTTTGGGAAATCTCAAGTATCGTCTTAAACGACATTGTCGATTCTTATTAAAGCTTTGCTCTTAGCATCAAGATCTACTCAATATCGTTATATCTTTCTTTCTATGTCGTCTTTTATTCTCTTCATTACACACAGTGTTTAAATCCATTTGGCGAATAAATGGATCAAATAGTCTTAATTATTTTCTTGTATTAGCATATTTTTGCTAAATATTGATAATTGATTATTAAATCTAAATGCGAATTAGACCTGCTTTCTGAGTCTCATTCGAATGTCTCTTCTAATTTCCCCTGAAGTTCTCCACTTATGCCCCTATTGATCACTAACATATCGGATAATTGTTTTAGTTGCTTCTTTGATCTTTTATGAGCCAGTTTATTTTCTACTCAAACAAACGTACAGTTTTATCTCTTTTCTTTATTAATAGCTTACTTTTTTATCTAAATTCTCCCATAACCCCATTTTTTTAATTTATTTCTTCTACCACTCGAAATAGTGGTTTCTTACTCGGCTTTATTAAAGTCTGTCTATTGAAGACTGCACGTAGCTGGCACTTCTAAACTTAAGCTGAATTTGGCCTCTTCGCTGTGTATTCTGTTTTGTCATGTCGCTAAATGTGCGCATATTATGCATTCTTGCATTTTGAGTCGCCTCAACTCAACACGACGCTCTCAGCTTTATAACTGTCGAATTTGTCTATGGTACCAAAAGCCTTGGCTAAGGGCTAAAGGAGTGTGGGCTAGACGAATTCATTGCGACTAAACTAATGATTGCCTCCTCTGTCGGGCCTTGCTCTTTCTTGGCATTCTTGCTCTCGGTGTGGAAACGCATTCTTTATGGCTAACCGTTTTTTCAGTCGACTTAGCACAACCTCTCATGCCACTGAGCACACATCTTCGATATATATAGTTTAACAGCGAAACTGTCTGATTTTAGTATACTCATCAGACTACTTGCGCAATTTTTCGATATTTTATTTCTGTTATCTATCACGAGGGGTTTGCTGTCAATTTTTCCACTGTTTCTGGTATTATTTTATCACTAGCTTAGTCACTATCAAGCTTTTTTTATTCTTGTATTTATACATACTTTATGGTATTCTAATAATTGGGTGGATTAGACTGGTTGGTTTTATTTGATAAGTGTTGCTTGTCATGCTTATTTTGTACTTGTGCACGGACGCATTACATTTGTGATGGTTTTTTTATTTATGAATTCTCAAGTAGAATTTATATGCTTGAAAACTGAATATTATTCCCATTGCTGTTTTCTTTCCTATTTTTTTGTTAATCTATTTTACCTGTTCCTCAATAATGAATAATTATTCAACACGAACATTGTTGACTTTGTGTCAAAGGGCTTCATTTTACATTACCACTAGCAGCTCTTTTGGAAAACAAGCAGTTAAGATTCCATTGAGAGGTTTATTTTTATCAGATCATCCACTCTTAGAGACGAGCTATACACTTATGCAATGGAATACACTTATTATGGGTATAGGTTGTTGCACCGCATTAAAGTTAATCGGTGTTAACGAGGCTTAACCTTAATTCAGTTGGTGGGCGCTACAGTGCCATCCTGCTTTTTTCGGCATGGACCTCGACAAACAGGTATTTTGGTCACTATACAATTTTTATTAGTCAATTTTTAGCTTCAAATAATTTACAACAAAACTTTTTTTCGCTAACTTTCAAATGTTTGCTTCATCTTTGTTTAATCGCCTTATTAGATTAAATTAATATGACCTCCGTTAATTAATATAAGATTGCGACTCAATTTGAACTTTATTTAGTTTTAATATATTCCAATACTAGTCTTTTTATAACATCAGTTCTTATACAATCTTTATTTTTTTATATTCAGCATTTTTGCCTTAAATATTCATCACTAGGCTGCACACTTTTTAACTAGCTTAGTATTCTAAATTGCTATAGCTCGTAATATACTTCAGCACAGAAAAATGTGTATAGCTTCCAATTTTGGTCTTAAGGTTAATGTCTACTCGAGGTTATGTTGCCTCTCTTTGATTACCTTTTTATCAATTTATTTTTATTACTTTCTAAGTTTTTACAAATTTGACTTGATTTGGCATACTTAACTTTTGCCCTTCACAATTTCTTTATTTAACTGATGACTTTAGTTAATTCATTATACATTAACGATGGCTTACACTTTTAAAGCGTGGCAAACTTTTTAATCTTGAAATAGTAGTATCATATATGAATGAGTTCTGATAAAGAATTTAATTGATGATTTTCTTATTCTTAATTCTAAATAATGAGGAGGCTTCGAGCTGAAGCTTGTGAACTTATACCGAAATTTTTGTTTTTTCTCCATTTATTCTATTTGTCTTGAAAATATCTAGAGTCATATTTCAGACTTTACAGTTAAGAGCATGTTTGAGCATAATTACTTTTTTTATTTATTTTAAACTGACTTTGCCAATTTTGTTTGAGATCGATTTTTATAATTTTTTACAGAAACACTTTTGTCCCCAGCCTTAATTTTGTATAAGCTTGGCGCTGAGATTTTCTGCCATATCTGCCAAATCTGCCAATTATCTATTGACAACTGGTTCTTGCAAATGTCCTCAACTAACTAGTCTCTTATAGGTTAGTTTTTGTGCCATTTAACCCCTAATATACACTCTGAGGTGACTTTTCCAAATAATATTACAGTCTTTTACTCCCTTATAAATTCGGTTTGTTTTAAAAAGGGATTTGACCCACTTATTTGTTTGGCCCATTTCACTAAAATTCTTTAATTGGATTTAAAATATATATCATTGGTAAATATACACTTTGACTAATAAACTCCCCTCATCATCCACATCTTTCTAGACAAT